CATTTTTATTTTTGGAGATTAATTTCAATAGCATATACTCAAGATAAAAATAGAAAATAAACTTGCCAAACTTTATTTTTTAAATAATATTTGAATGAATAAAAATCATTAAGATTTGAAGAAGAGAGAAAAAACATACATCTTTTTGGATTCATTAATGAGGATTTTGGTGACTGTGTTTCATAAATTATCCTAAATATCCAGACTCTTACAGATAATGAAATACTCTAATATTCATGGAACTTGGATATTTGTGGTAAATTTTCAATTATTTTATTTTAGGGAGTAAGAGCTTGTATTTGCAGCTAGGATACGAAAGTTGAACTATATAATGACTGCTTGTATGAATAAAATTTCATCAGTAAGTAATTACCTTTAATAGTATGTGAGAATTTTAATGTAACCATGTATATTATCTTTCACTGCATAGATTTACGTTATTGAAGTGAATTACTTGCAAATCCTTAAATATGAGCTTAATGATTTGAACTTGTATAAAAGAGGTCCTTTGTATTAGGGAGATTTTTCTTGTACTCTCAGGTCTCCAACTAGGACTGTGTGTCTCTGTGCTATATATCCCTGAAGTTCTTTGGGCTTATTTCAAAAATGGCATTTAATTTAAATAATTATAGTGTTCTTTCAGCTTGTTTTTCTCATTTGACTTTCTCATTTGATTTTAAACCGTACAGAATATGAATCTTGTATTATTCATCTTTAGGATCCATTACAACCTTTAGTATGGAATAGATACTTTATTTGTTAAGTAAAGAAATGAAATTATTTCTGAAGCCGAATTGGCATAAAAATTCCATTCTAGTAGGGTTATGAGTATTAAAATGATTTGATGCTAACACTGTATTTTGTATCTTCTCTTACAGGCTCTTAAATCTGATCTACAATGGAAAAATTTCTTTTCTATCTGTTTTTCATTGGCATAGCAGTGAGAGCTCAGATCTGTCCCAAACGTTGTGTCTGTCAAATATTGTCTCCTAATCTTGCAACCCTTTGTGCCAAGAAAGGGCTTCTGTTTGTTCCACCAAACATTGACAGAAGAACAGTGGAACTGCGGTTGGCAGACAACTTTGTTACAAATATCAAAAGGAAAGATTTTGCCAATATGACCAGCTTAGTGGACCTGACTCTATCAAGGAATACAATAAGTTTCATTACACCACATGCTTTTGCTGATCTACGAAATTTGAGGGCTTTGCATTTGAATAGCAACAGATTGACTAAAATTACAAATGATATGTTCAGTGGGCTTTCTAATCTTCATCATTTGATATTGAACAACAATCAGCTGACTTTAATTTCCTCCACAGCGTTTGATGATGTTTTTGCCCTTGAAGAGCTGGATCTGTCCTATAATAATCTAGAAACAATTCCTTGGGATGCAGTTGAGAAGATGGTTAGCTTGCATACTCTTAGTTTGGATCACAATATGATTGACAGCATTCCTAAAGGGACTTTCTCCCACCTGCACAAGATGACTCGACTTGATGTGACATCAAATAAACTGCAGAAGCTACCACCTGACCCTCTCTTTCAGCGAGCTCAGGTACTAGCAACCTCAGGAATCATAAGCCCGTCTACATTTGCATTGAGTTTTGGTGGAAACCCCTTGCACTGCAATTGTGAGTTGCTGTGGCTAAGGCGTCTATCCAGGGAAGATGACCTGGAAACTTGTTCTTCTCCTGCACTTTTAACTGGCCGCTACTTTTGGTCAATTCCTGAGGAAGAATTTTTGTGTGAGCCTCCTCTCATTACTCGCCACACGCATGAGATGAGGGTGCTGGAAGGTCAAAGAGCAACACTGAGGTGCAAAGCCCGGGGAGACCCTGAACCTGCAATTCATTGGATTTCCCCTGAAGGGAAGCTGATTTCAAATGCAACAAGATCTCTGGTGTATGATAATGGCACACTTGACATTCTGATAACGACTGTAAAAGATACAGGTGCTTTTACCTGTATTGCTTCCAATCCTGCTGGGGAAGCAACCCAAACAGTGGATCTTCATATAATTAAGCTCCCTCACCTCCTAAACAGTACAAACCATATCCACGAGCCTGATCCTGGTTCATCAGATATCTCAACTTCTACAAAGTCGGGTTCGAATGCAAGCAGTAGTAATGGTGACACTAAAATGAGTCAGGATAAAATCGTGGTGACTGAAGCGACTTCATCGACAGCACTGCTTAAATTTAATTTTCAAAGAAATATTCCAGGAATACGTATGTTTCAAATCCAGTACAATGGTACTTATGATGACACCCTTGTTTACAGGTAAGGAATATTGAGCAAATTTATATATTTGGCATGTTCTAAGTGTAGGGTTTATTATTGTACTATTTATTTTTAATAGGCAATGCTCTTCTACATTGTAATTACAATATTACAATTTTAAAGTGCATAATGTAAGGCTTATAAAAGTTGGTGAATATATATGGGGAAATATCTTGAACAGTATTATTTTTAAAGAGTTCAAATTTATATTTAATATTATGCTTACTTTTCCACCTCATCTGAGAGATGTGACTATCAGAGAACAAGATTGATTGAATTTAAAAATTAAAAAACATACCAGAACTTACACATCCACATGAGTGTTCTTTCCTTCAAGGAAGTCATGTTGGGAGGCTATTCCATTATCCCAATGATGCTGCCATTGCTCAAAGCACTTTTGGAATTATCTTTAGAACCTTCGTCATACTATTTTGAATATCCTCATTGGTGGCAAATCTTCGTCTTTTGAGGGTGAATTTGAATTTTGGAAACAAGCAAAAGCCATTTGGAGCCAAGTCTTGAGAATAAGGTGGGTGATCAAGATGGATATTGCCATTTTTGGTCAAAAATAGGATGTAACTATAAAATAATGAGACTGATTTTTTGAGCGATTAAGCTATGTGCATGTGTGTTTTCTCCTGTGCATTGGTTTCTAAGGTAGTTCCAAAGGGAAAGTTCGTAAATATTTTGAGCAGTGAAAGTATCACTGGAGTAAAGTAAGTAATTTCCAGTAAGGACAATGATGAAGAATTTGCATCTGAGAATGAATTTCTGGTATGTTTTTCTAAAGTTCAGCCTCATTGATTTATGGTCACATCTTGTCCAACTTTCAGTAGAAAATACACATTTTTTTACTCCTGATATAATTTTATTAGTGACAGACTATTATTATTCAGAGGAAAGGATACAAAATCATGGTTTTGAAATATTTGTGTTTCTTTTTAAGCTTTTCAGATATCAGATCTGGTTAGTTCCTATATATACAAGTTCTTGAGGGTAATATGATTTTCATTTATGGATGAAAATGAGAGAATTTTGTAAAAGTAAGTGTGGACTAGTAGGAAAAAACCACAACTATCTTAGATAGTCAAGTGATCAATCCTGGGAAATGTTCTACCTGGTTGGGTTTTAATTTCCTCACTATTAAAAGGAAAGATTAGACTAAGTGGTTTTTAATACCCCATTCAACACTAAAAGTATGTAGAAATAGACCATAATACACATGAATTACCATCAAGTAGTCTGGTTTGTGCCACCAGGCTTTTCACCTAGCCTAGGGGCCATTGAAACAGCTGTCAATGCTAGATGTAGACCCAACCCCTCAACTTCTTATAGCTACTAGACATTCTATATTACTTTTGGCATTAGCTCTGTAAAATCAATTGCATTCTAATTTCCAAGGTTTAATCCTGCCATGATGAGCAAATTCTGTGTGACTTGAGGAAACTGCTTAAATTCCCGAACCTAGTGGTTGTTGTCTGCAGAACAATGATAATGCCTATTTCAGAAAGTCATTATAAAGATTACATTTTAATGTATATAAATGCCCAGCATGTATCATACATTCATTAAACGGTAGTAATTTTAATTATGATATGTAATTTGTCCTGATAGTTTCTTGGCATATTTAGCAAAATTGTTTAGGTTCTATCACAAATTAGTAATGAAGAGTTTTGAAATTTCTAGAACTCACTTTCAGGAATGAAATATGATTACATGCCTTTTCTTCCAAATTAATTTTAATTCAGTTCATATTTGGTTATATCTGAGGAAAAACACTGTCATTCACAAAACTTTTACAATGTAATAGTTTCAGAGATGTCTATGAATTCTTCTCAAACTTCAGAAACTGAATTTTGATAGGATATTTTCAGGTAATAATGGGATGAGAGATTTGTACTGTGGTCAACAGCCTTGCCTTATTCTTACTGCTGAGATATTGCTCATATTTTTACATAGTCCTTATTTACAGATTAAGACATTTTGAGGACCAAGCTATAAGAAAGTAGTAAGACCTATAAATAAATTACTTTAGTCTTTGTAATTATCTTAGTTATTTAAAATAGATTTTGTGAATACCATACCAGAGCAGCTTATTTCTGATTTGGAAAATAAAAGCTCTGAAATGCATTTCCATTCTGGTTTCTAATGTGATTGTCAGTGTTTTCTCTTTTTCCAAATTGGCTTTTAGTCACGGAGGTGTTGTAAGTGCTAAATGGATTTGTTTAGTAGTCAGATAATGTCACAGTCACACCTTTCAAAAGCAATTTGTCATAAATGATTTTTTAGCAGTGGCTTTTATTGGGAGTTCTGCTTTGCCAAGCAGTGTAATTAGTCACCTTGCCAAGGAAATGTGCAGGCACAGTTAATAGAACCTGGACTCTTAGCAATGACTTTTAGCTATTTTAACTGGGTAAATATAAGATTAGATAATTTTCCCGTATTTCTTATCAGTTATAAATGTGCTTATCTTAATGAGTCCTGAAATAAGACAGAACTAAAGTCATAATGATTGTGTCAGTGTGTTGCTTTGTTTTAAATATTAACACAATTCCATTGTTCCTCAGAATGATACCTCCTACAAGCAAAACTTTCCTGGTCAATAATCTGGCTGCTGGAACTATGTATGACTTGTGTGTCTTGGCCATATATGATGATGGCATCACTTCCCTCACTGCCACAAGAGTTGTGGGATGCATCCAGTTTACTACAGAGCAGGATTATGTCCGTTGCCATTTCATGCAGTCCCAGTTTTTGGGAGGCACCATGATTATAATTATTGGTGGAATCATTGTTGCATCAGTGCTGGTTTTCATCATCATTCTAATGATCCGCTATAAAGTTTGTAACAATAATGGGCAACACAAGGTCACCAAGGTTAGCAACGTTTATTCTCAAACTAACGGGGCTCAGATGCAAGGCTGCAGCATAACACTGCCCCAGTCCATGTCCAAACAAGCCTTGGGACATGAGGAGAATTCCCAGTGCTGTAAAGTTACCAGTGACAATGTCACCCAATCGTCAGAAACATGTTCGAGTCAGGACTCTTCTACCACTACCTCTGCTTTGCCTCCTACTTGGACTTCAAGCACGTCTGTGTCCCAAAAGCAGAAAAGAAAGACTGGCACAAAGCCAAGTGCTGAGCCACAGAGCGAAGCCGTCCCAAATGTTGAGTCCCAAAACACTAACAGGAACAACTCAACTGCATTGCAGTTGGCTGGCCAACCTCCTGATTCTGTCACTGAGGGGCCCACCTCTAACAGAGCACATACCAAGCCAAGTAAGTTTCTCACTGTGCCTGCAGAGAGAGCCAGGTGCAGGCACAGGTACTCCCTGCATGGAGAAGTAAAGAAATACTATTGTTGTGTTAACTCGCTGAACACGTGTGAACTCTTTCCTAAAAGAAGCATGTCTATGAGTGGCATGTTCATTCAGTCCAAGAGTTCTGATGAGCATAGTGGAAAAGCAACTCTTTCAAATTCTGAATGGATATTGGAAAGCGCTGTGTAATCTGTTATTTCCTTTTGGATGAAAAACCATTTTGAAAAATCACATAAGAAATTGCAATTTGGAATTCTAGTCTTGTTTCTCTGGTATATGGCTAATAGAGCTCAGGTTATGCATAACGCATCTAGAGTAAAATTGATATATATATATATACATATATATATATATATATATATATATGAAGGTAGCAGATAAAATGGTTTAAGGCACAAAAATCAATAAAATAAGATAAAATAAAGTAGTATGAGATAGCAGCTGTGCCTTCCCTTATTCTAAGACCAGCTTACAGCCTCTGCAAAAGCAAATCACAAAATGAAATTCCTCACAGAAAAAAAAAAGCCTTCCTTAAAAATGATGATTATTTCTTCCAGTTTTTCAAAAGGTCATGTACGGATAATTAGTATTTTTCAGTAAGTAGACCATCTATTTTTTAAATGACAATGTGTAGTAGAGAAAACCCTGATAGGTTATTTAAATAAGATATTCTATTAGGATATCTAGACCATGATAAAATTAATCACCTTTCTCTTTTTTTTTTTTTTAAGCACCTTTCTAAATAACATTCTGGCTTAGGTGTCTTAATCGTTCTAATATATTTCTCTTCTATGACACAGATTTTTTCATTGAAAAAGGAAATCAAATGCAATCCATTTTGTATTTATCAAAAAATATGATCAGTTTTGAATCACAGGCTACATTTCATATGAATCTACATGGGCATATAAAGATATTTGATTTCATTCATCACATTTGCTGAATGAATGTGTTTTATATTTTTTAATGCAAGTTAAAGAGGGAGAAAAATATGAGACTTCCTTTACCAAAAGGGTGTTTATTTTTATCATCAAATGAATGAAAACCTTCTAATGGAGTTCTCATCACATTTATAAGCGATATAAAGTCATTGCTCATTAACCAGATAGTGTTTTTCCCTCCTGTGCTATAATTCTACATCTGAATGCTTTTCTCTTAAGTAAATGTGCTTATTATTTTAACCAAAAACTTTGATGAATTTAATCAGAAATCATTCAGTTTAATGGAAATACACCATTTAAAAAAAGATTTTATAGTGAGTCTTAAAATAATAATATTCCTTGATAGTAGAACTTTCCCAGAATGTGATTACAATCAAAGTCTATAAATATTCCTATTTACTGGATTATGAAAAACATAATTATATACTAACTCAATGTATTTTACTAACAAGCCATAAGTGGTGTTAACCCAAAGGTTTTGTTTTGTTTTGCTTTTTGTTTTATTTTCATCTTATTTTGAAGGTACTCCTCATGTGAGAACTTAGATCTATTACTTGGCACAAACAAACATGAGATTTTAGCCATAACATGATAAATGAATGCCTTATGTATGTCAACTGCTCCTGGAAGTAAGTTAAACACATTGGAAAAGTTGGTTCATCCTTTCAGACCCCCTGAAATACCCTTCAACACAGGTGTAGAAAGTCAAATCAAGACATTTTTATTTGTTTGCTAAGGGCATATACCAAATTTACATTACTTTTAATTTGACAAGTACACAAAATATACATGACATATCATTCAATAGGGGCTATGTTTGAAAAAGTTAGAGACAACTTTACTTCAAGTCCTAAAATTAATTACCCAGTAGACTTTTCTATGTATTTTAAATCCCTTTGCTTTTCTACTTCCTTTCTGAAAAGTTTGCCTTTCACATTTGCAAAGTCTAATTATCTTCACTGCTCATGTTCTATACGGTTTTTTGAAAAGTAAATGAGATCACGTGTGTTGCAGGAGTTTCTGAAATTGAAAGTACTTCACAGAGAGAAGTGTATTTTCAACACTATTGATATAATAATGCTAATAATGATCTAATCCCAAATACACACACACACACACACACACACATGCACACACACATATACACAAACACACATATATTTGCAGGGGAGGGATTCACTGAGACAGGGTCTTACTATGTAGTTCAGATTGGCCTTGACCTCACTGTGTACCCCAGGCTGGCCTTGAACTTGTGGCCACCCTTCTGCTCCTGAGTGTTGGGATTACAGATGTGCACCACCATGCCCAGCTTCCAAGTATACATTTTAAATTAATTACGTAATTTTCTATTTTGTGTTGATTAGCATAAGGATATTACTCTTCCCCTTCCAAGGTATATCAGCATAGTATTTAAAAAGTCTTGAATGGACAAAAGCTTTCAAGTCTTAAAGAAATGAATCCCTGAATGATTTCTGAAAGTATGAAGGATAAAGAACCTCTGAAATCACATAACATAGGCAACAGCTTATAATTATTCCAAGCTACTGATTATTTATTATATATTTTGCAGTTGCCTGTATTTTTCAAATTGATATACTGCTTATGTTTCCTATGAAACTTCAATTAAAAATATTTTATTTCTCAGAAACACTTAAAATTCTATGATTTCTAGTCATGTGAATTTTATTTTGTTGGACTAAAGTCATTGAAAATAATTTAGATTTTATTTTTACTAGAGTATTTTCAGACTGTATTAACTAAATGCTTGAACAAAAGGCTCCTAAAAGTGTTTTTTGTAGCCTGTTTTTCTGTCTTTTAAAAGGATTATATTTGGGGGGATCAACAACAGATTCGACTATCAAAATGTCATTTTAATTGTATTTGTTTATATCATGACATTTTTGCATAGGAAGATAATGTTACCAATTATAATGTCTGAAGCAGAAGAGTTGCTTAGATGAATGAGTAACTGGATGCATTTATGAATGAGTCGGAGCAAAGAGGACAATGTGATAAAATGAAGTTTGATTAATTAACCTGTGGAGATTGGTCCTCCAGATATTATATTATCATCAGAAAGAAACTTTGTCCTTTCCTTTCTTTTCATTTTATGATGTATTGCATTCCTCACTTAGCAGCCATACATATGTGGTCTGAAATGTGCTTTACTGTTTGTGGTTGGTGACTCTATGTACAAACGCTATGTTATTTTCACTTTCTTGTTCTTAATTATTTTCCTTTCATTTTCAGCCATTTCACACTATCAGCATGTTCAATGTGAAAACAACTTAAAAATACTATGCTTGCTGTTAACTATATTTAAATAAGTATTTATTCAAAATGTTTTAAAAATTAGTATGTGCTGTAGATTTTTTTGTGAATTTTGGACAACTGTCCTCTAATTTAAAAATACCAAATTATGATTAAAATTGTGTCATAAAGGAGTAATGCAGTATCCAAAGCTGTCTCAAAATTCTAAGGAGCAGTAGTTTGACTTGAGTATTATTAAATTTTAATCTACGATACATAAGGCAATTTGGAATACAATAAAAGTAAGTTTAATTAGATTCAATAACCAGTAACACTGATACTGTGGTCAATTTATTTCCTATTTTTTTTTAACTATTAATGGATACAGGTGGAAGGTCAGGGTGTTATTTTATGCTTTAAAACAGCTGATTTTGCCTGTTCTATATATATATTTTACCAAAAAATTTTAGAATGCATTTTTGAAGCATTCTATGAAGTCTATAAACATTACAAGCCTATTCTCTGGAATGTATGCACTTTCTCCACAATCATTTAAAGAATTAACAAAAGCTAAATATGGTCCATTTATTTGTCTACAGGAACCTTTTTTCCTTTTATGTGAAGTATGCCCTTTCAATTTAAAACACTCACAAAGTACTTACTTCCAATGTAATTTTACATATTTTATTTGTTTATATTTCTGAAAAGAAACTATTTTACTTGTAAATATAAAAAATTTAAGAGTAATGTCAGACAGTTTATATCTACTACCTTGCGGTTCCTAAATATTAATATTTCTTCTCTATTTGTGGACAGTGATTTTTTAAAGTCTTTTAAAAGTCCATAATTAAAAATATTACGGTAACATAAAACATCTTCCTACAGGTAGAAATGTAAAGTGAGTGAAACATGTCTCTAAAAACCACAACAGAGAGGAAGGGGCTCATTGGGTTCTAGGTGAGGGTGCTGTGAGCTTGTACTTTACAATGCCAAGAAAGCGATGTCCGTTCATGCTGAAGAGGTCGAAGATGCATTGTCCTCTCCCTGGCTGGGCTTCCCCACTCCTCACTTTTCTGCCTTAACCGTATGTTCTTCCGTGTGAGCCTGGGTGTTCTGGGGTAAAGACCAGCATGCTGTTGGCTGATGGGGAAGGATGATTTTCATTTTCTTTGTGGTTGATAATAGTAATAATGAATTATCTTATAATGTTACTGATACTGAACTTAATTTATGGATAAGAAATGTCATTACAATTGCACAAAGAACAGAGAACAAGTGGATCTTTTCAATAATGTTAATCTCCCTCTTTCAAATTACTCTGCCATTTCCTTCCCATGCTAGGTAAATATATGCTGGGTTTATGAATACAGTACATTTTTTTCAGGTGTATCTTTTTTCTTATTTATTTATTCCAAATAATCAGTACTTCTTTTAGCAATGCAGAAGGCTACTTAAAATAAGAGTGGTAAGCATTTTCTCTGATTGAACCATCCTTAAATTTGGTGTCATCTGATGTGCTCCATAGAAAGTAACAATTTATAACTGGCAGGATATTTAAGTGTTGAGTTAACTGATTAAAGTAATCCTAATAAATATTCAATTTTATCAAATTTTATGAATAGTTAATAATCAATGTACAATTGTTTTCTCATGTTCTACTATTTCAGAGTCAAAATTTGGAAACTAAAGTTCATATTTAATACATATACAGATTTGTTATACATACATATCTACACATGTACTCTATGTCCATATTACACATCAATATATGCATATATAGATATATACACTCATAAGATTAACCAATTAAAATAATTTTTTCCTTCAATATAAATTAGTAATTTATAATTAGTAAAATAAAATTAGAACTATACAATATTCTTGCTGTTTTTACCAGATAACAACGAAATGTAGGCCCTATAATAATCTATTATTATAATAGATTATAATAATGTTATGTTATTGTTATTAACATTTTGTGGTACTGGAAATTGAAACCAGGCCCTTCTTTTATTTTTATTTTTAAACTTTTTTATCTTTTTTTGAGACATGATTTTGCTAACATGTCCAGGCTGGGTTTAAATTTGTAGTCCTTCTCCCCCAACCTCCTAAATATAAATTTATTGTCTTGAATTTCTTGAGATCATAGAGGTTTCTCATCTCTACAACTGAATTTCATCCACTCTTTGCAAATTATTGACTGTAATGTTTATGAATTTAAAAATAAATTTATATACATTTGGGAAAAAAATGAAGGCTTTTTTATTTAAAGAATTTGTGTTTAGAAATGTGGACACATTTAGTCTTACCTGACATATGAGCTATGTAGATAATAGTACTTCTCCAGAATATGCTTAATAAGTGATTAATTCACAGTGTAATGGCACACATGAAACATTTTCTGGGCTCTACCATATCCAATGTGCACATCATTGTTTTCTTTGTAATATGAACATGTCTTGTTATTGCTTTCAAGAAAAATCTAATCTCCAGAGGCCATTGTAAATGTATATGAATATTTGTGCTAAAAGTTTGTAAACAAAAATAAATTGGTCCTAGTTTCATCAGTCATTCATGAACTCTTACAATGACTATGTACCTTTAAACAAATCCTTTTTTCTCATTCTTGTGTCAGTTCTAAATGTTAGTACTATTTGCTTAAGCAAAATTATGTAAAGCAGTAGAATGTGTGCTGTACAGGGTTATGTAATACTATTAAATATTTATAGCCAATTGGAATATACATATGAATATTTAAAGACAGAATGTTTGCCCTTAGAACATTACTGTTTTGCTTAAAAATGGAAGGATACTTGAGAAAACGTTCTATTATTTGGAGACTGAATATTGAATGATGGTTAATATAGTAAAATGATAATTTTATACTTTGTGTGGTGAATATGGTGGAATAATACTTCCTGCTGCTGATTATTTTTTCCTTGATATATTTTCCTATATTAATCACAAGCTTAAAATGTTTATATAGGAAAAATGAATGGAAATCTGATTTTCTTGTTGAACTTAGGCATGGAAAACATGTACTATGTTGAGAATTATTCATATTGGTACTAGAACTTTTTAAAATTTTATTTTTATACTTTATGTATCGGGAAGTAAGCATAAACAAAAACAAAATGCAAAAGTTAGTTGAATTAACCTAATAATTGCTCATTTTAAAAATGTAGTTGAATCGTTGGGAGGAATCTTATCAAGGTTACAGTGAGAAGAGCTTTAGGGTCTGTTTCTTTAGAAAAATGAATTGTTTAAATTTTATTCCCAGATGCTTTGCTGACTAATGTTGACGAGATTGTCCAGGAAACACAGGTGAGAATCTCATTACCTGTCACATACCTCAATATTTAACTAGGTTAATTATTTCATACACAAAGTTTCTGATTTTTGGTTTTCTAGATTGTACAACTTGCTAAAACTTTCCATTAAAACTTACTTAGATTCTTCAATGGTGCACTCTGAAGTTCAGCTAGATTGAGTGAATTTCCAATTACTAAATTTAGACATAGTCTTCAGTAACTGAACATATCTGATTCACACTGCAGCAAAGAAAGTTAATACTAATTCTGCTGTATGTGACATTAGAGTCACTATTGTAATTAAGTGTGACACAATGTGCATTGTTACAAATATCTCCAGACTTGAAGATAGTAGCTTGATGAGCGTGTACTCACTCCTGCCCTTGACGCCCCACATCCCCATAGGAATGAAGATGATACATTTTCCCTCATTGAAAACGGATGAACACAAGTGTTGCAGTGTTATCTAAAATGAGTGAAGCCATTTCAATGTGGAGCAAAAGACTACACATGAAATATTCATGGTATTCCTTTTGTCAGCAACCAATTACTCTTATTGAGTGATTTTTTTTTTCTTGGACGTTTCAAATGAGAATTTGATTCCTGCATTTTAATTGGATCAGAAAGTGTGTTTCCAGAGCAGAATAGCACTTAAGCAATCTGTTCAAACAGCTGGAAGCATCAGCCATTTGCTTGAGGTTTCCCACAGAAAAGAGAATTCTGCTTTTACAAGTTCTAAAAAAGGCCATTGATTTATTTGTTTGTAGTAAAAATAGAGTCTTACTTTTTAAACATATTTAAAAACAACGTACTTTAAAAACCAATAACTTGGTCAGTGTTTCAGGGTTTTCTCTAGTGCATCGCATCCCAAAATTACACCAAATGTTTTCACGGATCATTTCTTTCCTGGGTTTAAGATCCCACTCTTACACTGCAGAAGAAGAACAGATGGCTCGCCGAAAACAATACTCGCCCCGTGTCTGGCACATGCTCCGTGTTCCGTTGTGTGTGTTGAGCTGAACTGCACGAAGGCGCTTTGTTTCACTGCCAACTCCGATTTCCCCTTCCTTAGTCTGAACCTCCTTCTCTTTTCTCTCCCTCTTCTTTTCCCACTCCTTCTGCCTTTTCCTCCTTCTCTTCTTCCTCCTCCTCCTTCTCCTGTCCATTCTAATCCTCCTCCTCCTGCTCGCAAATCTGTCCCTGTCTCTATCTTGGTTACTCTCATTTTTTAAAATTTCCTTTATTATTACTTGGGCCATCCAGTGAGTTGAAAGTGAGGATAACTCCAAACAAGAAGGAGGAAGTAAATGACTATTATGTCAGAAAGTGCATTTCAAAATGATGCTGAATGTAATATTAACATTTGGAAGAAGAGTTAATATGAGTGACTCTTACTTTTACATTACCATTACCCAAATTACTGTTATTCATATTTCCTGGGACATATTATATTGTAGTGAGTTTATTTATTTATTTTACTACATCATTGGAATTTGGGATTTAGAGAAAAGTAAGCCTTTGTATTTACTTTTATTTATTTATTTTTTGGTACCGGGGATCGAACTCGGGAACTTGTGCTTGCGAGGCAGGCGCTGGAACCACTGAGCTAAATCCCCCGCCCCCTTTGTATTTACTTTTGAGGGTCTTTGTACCATTAAAATTAGTATAATATTTACAAGTGTAATAAATGTGTAACATTTTTATCACTGACTTTTTAGCCCAAGTAATTAGTGTTAATTATATAAAATTTAAATATCCAGTTAAAAACAAAAATAAATACAAATCAGTCGAAATCTACCATCGATGTACAAATTATTGGTGATTTAGAACCTAATCATTCAGTGATGAGGTCTTTTGCTATACAGTATGTTCATGAATGTTATGTGTGTTTTTATAGGTAAACATAGTGAATGTAAAATATATATGGAATACTGTCTCTTTTTTATTTTTATTTATTTATTTATTTTTTGGTACCAGGGATCGAACTCGGGTCCTTGTGCTTGTGCAAGGGGAAACCACTGAACTAAATCCACAGCCCCTGTCTTTTTAAAACTTTACATGGAGGCTCTTGTTAGTTTTTATAAAATAAATTACTAGCACAATATTATAGAAAATTTTCATACTTTTTCCAATTTTCTTTTCCTTCTGTAAACATGAAGAAAAGCAAACCTACAGAAAAATATAATTGTAATGAGAATTTAGTGTCGATTCATTATTCTGTCTTTAGCCAGCTTTTAGTACATTTCTGTTATCAGGTTTAAGTTGCCACATGACCACAACTTAAGGAGGCGTTGTACTTAGTAAATAATTTCTGCTGCACCAGACCTCTTATTTCTTTAACTGTTAGCAAGGCCAAGTGGTGATGCTCTTTCCGAAGAGCCAGTGGTCTGTATGCTCTTTCTTCTCACGGCCTTTTCCATGTTCAGCGGCACTGAATTTTGTGCGCTGTGTAGAGGAGAGCTACAAAGAGATCACAGCTTTGTGGTCACAGCTTCTCAGTTCTGTACTGTCTGTAGCTCACACTGAGCTCTCTGGTTAGGTGGATATTATCTCCCAAGTCTACAGAGTTAAAAAAGTTATTTCATTTCTATTTTTCTGAATAGGTCCATTTCTGATTTTCTTTCAGAAAAAGTAGAATGAGTTTGATATATTTCAGTGTATCATGTACAATTGTTTTGTAACAAAATCACAAGATTTTAATCACACTAAGAGGACTCAAGAACAAAGGGAAGAGGAATCATTGGTAAAATTAGTGAAAATTACTCTCCTTGCAAACTGGCACATGTAAGGTAACAGAGGTGGTAAAGATTTTTTATCTTTATAAACAATAGGAATGCAAGTTTAACAACTAAGATTGGAGTAGTGACAAGTTTGCATTTAGACTAAAAATTGTTTTTAGTAAAATTTCTGAAGAAATAGTTTTCATATTCAAACAAAAAATACATATGTATTATCTGTGTGTGTGTCCATGTATGTTTGTAGGCATGCATAAGAACTAAGACATATTCTGCAATTATTTATGCAGGCTTTCAGATAATTGCTGCTTGATTAAAATAAATTTGACTTGTGATATTCCTATTTAGTGTCAAGACATTTTTAAAATGTAGTCTTTGTTGTAAAATGTCTGTTACAGATGTATTAATCATCAAATAAGTACAGTTATTTAGATAAAATATTAGTTTCCTAATGAATAAAATATCAGTAATGTTTATTATAAATAAATTGCAATATTTCCACAACTAAGGGAAAATACAGGGTTCTGGAAATATATGAAAGACGAAGTAAAGTACAAAACAAATCTTAATAGATGATGTGAGTATAGACGTTAAACATACCTAATCCAAAAGAACTTATGCCTAACAATTGTGAAATATGAATTATTTTGAGTACTAATATGATCTCACAACCAGAACTTTCACATCTGATCGTGGGCTGAGTCAGGCAAAATCTAGGCCCACTAAAAATATTATACAGAATTACCTTCAGGCCATGTGTATCAGATGTGTAAGAAACATGGGTAAAGTTTGTGCTTAGAGTTGAGTCCCACCTGTATGATACCCTGTAATACATAAACATGCAGGGTTTTTGCACTCTAGAAGAATTCATAATCTGTAACACTTCTGCCCCCAGGATTTTCAGAAAAAAGGATAGATAACCTGCACTTTAAATGTTTCTAGGTGACATCAATACAAAATATTTGGTTCTGCAGGGTTTTTTTCCTATGGAAATTAATTAAATTTAATTTAATTTGAGCAATAAAATAGGTACACACATAGAAAACATTAACTAATTTTTAATAATTAATGTATATTTTATCACATATTTCTTAGACCTTTATACCAAGTCAGGAAAGAAAAAAAAGAAGAAAACCCTTAGTTTAAGCAATGGCCTTTAAAAATCATCTCCTTTGTGTTTAGACATCCTAGCTACTCAAGATCAAAATCCTTCATAACCCTTAATTACATACAGAAGAGAGGCAGTAGTAAGGATCTAAGTATAGTCCATGGAATGTCAGAATATTTTGCTTGTCAAAGTGTTGAGATAGTTTACATTACCCTTTACTTTTTAGTTTGTTAAGAAAGCCATTAGTCCGTAAGTGTTTTCCATGTTACACTTTCAGTTTTAAACGAGGATCACTGTTGAAACATCCTAAACTTACCCCAAGGTGATAATTTTAAATTCTTATAAATTTTACCACAATTATCATTGTTCTTACTTTATCTTTGTGATGCTCTTCTAAGTTTATGTTCAGTGTTTAGGTTTATGGGGAATTGGTATAAGAGTTTCCTTATTAATAAGTAAGTTGCACAGTGTTATTTTGTGTATTCTAACTAATACTAGTTTTTATTTGACTCAAAATTTGCCACCATTTCAATAACAGTATTAGCTTTAAGGAAGACAAATATCCATCATATTTTCCATTTTTTTGCTACTTCCTAATTTTCATAACTAACAGTATTTTCTTAAGCTACAATTGTACACATTCTTAATAGTGTTATTATTAGAAGTGTCACTTATATTGCTATATCTATCAGGTTAAAAAATCTCTAACTTGATGTTAGTTTGCTATCCTGGAAAGGATTTATTACTTAGAAAAAATCAAGCTAGGTAAAGAATTGACTTTACCTTTTCTTCAAGATATACTGAGTCTTTAGTTTACTAAAACTTCTTATACTTTGAAATTTCTTATAATTTTTTTGTGGTAGGAGGGACTGAACACAGGGCCTTGTACAGAGCTACTGCCCCAGCTCATTTTTAATTATATTTTTTATTTTGGGACAGGGTCTCACTAAGTCCATTAACTTGCAATCCTCCTGCCTCAGCCTCCCTGAATGCTGGGCCCACAGGAGTGTGTCAGGTCACCTTGCTGTAATTTTATTTTAATTCCTGCCAAAGAAGGCCTATTGTGAGAGATAGAAATAAAATTGTCATCCAACATGATATGTCATGTCACTAACATGAGCCATGCTATGAATCCAATACAGAAGAATTTAGTGAAATATGTCTTTGTGTTTTGAAGGGGATTTTGGAATGTTTTTGGTAGTATGTGTCAGGTACAGTATAGTACTGATATATGTATTTTGTCAGTTTCAAAGACAATTATTTTGTTTTATGAATAGTACATATATTGGTCTCTTAGCTATCCTTTAAGAGTAAATGCATCTGTTATTCTCAGAAATTGTCAGTGCCCAAAATACCCTTAATCATTCAAGTTTTTCTTTTTTCTTTTTTGGTATCGGGGATCAAACTCAGGACCTTGTGCTTGCCAGGCAGGCACGGTGTCACTGAGCTAAATCCCTGGCGCAGTCAAGTTTTTCTTAACTAAAATATCTCTGGAGTATTTTACCTACCTTTATCTCATAAATTGATCAAAATAACCTACTGTACTTTAATTAATGTCTTACATATTTTCCAAAGATAGCCTATATAATTATAATAGAGACTATTCAGTAAACTGAAAATCCATTACATCAAAATCCAAAAAGATGTTATAACCCTGAAATAGAACATGTGCAACAATGAAGTCAATTCTGAATGGAAAGGAGAAAACTTGTTTGTATTTCAGATATTTCAGGTAAAAAAATTTCTTCCTTTGTCAAGGATGGAATTTAACTACATAAATCCTTGAAGACTAAGGACTATATTTAAGGGGAAAGTATGCTCACAATTTGATATTTAAACATCTTTATGAAATGTTTTTATTTTTTATATCACATATTTACATTAACCATGGAGTGACTTTGCCTTTGCCTGTGAAATTTTGGAAGTTTTCATATTTATTCTGTTTGCTCTGTGGGTAAAGTGTATCTAATTAAAGAAGACAAATATTTTCCCTAACATTAATGCATAATAAAATGTTATCATCATGCACAAATTTCCTAGAACAGTTTAAAAAATGGAGAGATCATTTAGGTTTAAGAAATGTTGAGCAAGTGTTATCTAATATGTTTAATTAAAAAACCAGTATGTATGTTTATTAAAGCTTAAGGGGTTGCACTAATAAGAGTAACGTTTTGTGTTACATTGAGGATGCAACTATGAAAACTAAAACAAAGGGAAATGCCCTTCCACTGTTGGCTTTAATGTATATAATTGCTGTATAATATTCATACATTTAGATTCCTTTTGAAAAGGAGATTGTTTTATATATTCTTTTATATATTCAGTATATAGGGAGGTTCTTTGATATGTTCACTATTTGCAAACCACCAAATGATGTTTTAAATATTGATGTTCATGTCCAGATATTATTCGGGAAGGTGTTTTGTATTTTATGGTAAGCAGCTTCTGCCTACGTGCTTACAGTTCAGTAGCTTTCAGGTTGCAAACACAATGATTTATTAGCTATGTGTTTTCTCCCCCCACTCTTTTTTCTTTTTCTTTCATTTCAGAGGCTGGAGTCAATCTGAAGAGCACCACTTGTCTCTCTCCTGAATAAAGTTGCCACTGATATTTTTACTGGATAAAATAAAACAATGTTTCAGTTCACAAAGGCTAATGTTGAACTGTGTCCTAAAAGAAGTTGTCCACAGGAGCCCGTGCGGAAGTCACTGAAGCCAGCAGAACTGGCTCCTTCAGACCATGGTTCATCCCCTTTGAAAACCAAATTTTTTTTTCTTCTGGCCTAGAAGTATTTTTTTTAAGAAGGAAATTAAAAAAAACCTTACATTGGCATCAAGTTCTGTATCAATCCATCTTACATTGCCATCCATGACTTAACAGACTGTAGAATCTTGAATAATCTATATCACTTTAACAAATAAATGTTTTACTATGACAGAATTTGCACATTGCCTTATTTGTGGAAATATCTATTGCTTCAAGTCTGAATGAAGTTATTATTACAAGTACTAAAAATGCAATGTAACCGGGTGCAAAAATCTTCAGCAATCACAGATGGCTTTATAAAACTTGTATTATCTTTATACCTCATGTAAGAGAAAAGACAATGAGGGGTGTTATATCGTGGAATAACTTCAGAAAAAACCAAGATAGACCTATTATAGTTAATCCAAGTCGACTACTTTTCTCAAGATCCAGGGTGAACACGACTTTCGTAATTTCAGGCCCTGTGTGTCCTTCTAAGTGCCCATTTCTCCAATTTTGCAAGATTTCAGGACATATAAAGAATAACATCCAGCTGCTTTAACACCAAGGTATATAAACTGAGATATCTTTGAAGGCTAATAAATATCAATCCAGTCATAGGGAAGCAGTACACAAGTTTAGCGTTTTAGAGTGTGTTTTGGTTTGAAGCAGACTTGTTATCCACTGTAACCTTCCAAATTCTAAAAATCTTGGCACAAAATTTGACAGTGTGCAAGAACTTGCCACAGAGCTTAACATAAGATATGTTTTACAAAAATCTATTACCAACTGACTTCACATTCTCAGACACTTAAAGGTTCGATTTCTACTTCTTGACAATTTTGATAGTGATTACTAAAAGTGCTATGTATGATAAATTTTTTTAAAAAATGGTTCAAACTGAAAAAGCTGAAAAATCCCCTTTTGAATATTTTAAATTAAGCTGTTAGTCATTCTCAATCTATGGGACTATTAACAAAAATCTAAGCTTTTAGAGTTATAGAATGCCACCCATGAAAGCTATGCTTAGAAGCTGGCCAGCCTAGACCATGAGGACAATAACAACAACAACAACAACAACAACAACAACAACAACAACAGACACACATGTAGCCTCATGAAATGTGTGATTAAAACAGAAATGAGTTTTGAGTGGCAATTTTGAAGTTCATTTGTGACATTGGAAATTTACCTAGTTACCTGCATCTTGATCATTCTAATGCCCTGTATAATCCCATATTTGCATATGTAAGCATTTATGTTGATAAAAGGGGGACCAATAAAACAATAAGCATTGCCTGTGCAAAGCTCTTCTTGCACAATGTGTATGTTGTCCAGATCTGGAATGGATTTTCTGGCCCTCAGCCCAAAATTAACAGGTCTTTAAGGTCTTTCTTGGGTAAATTTGCTAACTTTTCTTCAAGGACATTATCCTATTTATCCTTATATTTCTCCTACTCCCTGAGGGTGGATTCTTGCTTTCTTTGATGGTGATATTTATGCAGTTATCATAGCCTTACCTGTCACTGACTTTATTTTAGAGTATGCTACAGAACAGCATTTCCTGTAGACATATAGACATGTGGACATACAGAACATGTCCATAGAACAGAATTTTTAGTGTGTTAGAGTTAAACTCAAACTTAGTCATTTAAAATCCCCCCCATATTTCCTAGTATTAAATCTGAAACTTCCATTTTTGTATGTATTCAGTCTTAAATTGAACACCAGCCACTCATAATGTACACACCTGACTTTTCTAAATGTAGCTTATTAGGAACAGGAAGGCTCAATCTATGAGTCTAAGATATGCAATAATAAATTATTTTAGTGAAATGATACATACCCTTATACTTAGGGGATTTAATAGAACACAAGTATATACTCATAGTTAAATGAGACTAGTGATCATTCACAAAAGACTGTTCTAAATAGAAGTGACAAAATAATATTTTCAAGAAAAGTGGAAGCTCGTAATTTTAGTTGAGCATATTATATGTATACGAATGATGTAATAAGGGGCAACAATTCTCAACCACAATATTAATGCATATAATTTGAAGTCATTTCTATTATTTCCTGTAATCTCACATACTGGAGTAAATGTAGAAGTAATTTAGCTGATAAAAGTACATATTATAGATATGGATACTTATAATTCAACATTCATAAAATCTAACTTACAGTATTTTACAAAGCACATCAAGCACATTGATGAGAAATTCCAATAAAATTGAGTGTATTATAGGTAGAGCTTGCAAGTTCTGATTTGGATTGAAAGTATAATTCATATTTTGAAAAGCTATAATTATTATTTTTAAAAATCCATAATGATCTATAGAACTGAAGATTATTAATAAAATGTACTTGGCTGAAAATAATGTACATAAAAATAAAACTAAAATAATTTTAATTAGTATTTCATTTAAAATTTAGTAACTCAGTTATACCTCATACACATTTCTTCTTTTGGTACTGGGGATCAAACGAACTCAGGACCTTGCACTTGCGAGGCAGGAGGCAGAATCACTGAGCTAAATGCCCGGCCCTCTCACACACATTTTGATTGTCAGTTACATCATGAAATACCTAATAACATATACAAGAAATTTCTGATACAGTTTTAGTTTGTTTATTCCAAAATATAATCCTAAACTCAGGTTATTTTTCTTTTACTCTATTTTATTTATCTGGGGAACATATTCAACTTTTTCCTTTCTTTTTAATTTCTCTGTGTATTTATACTGACATTTCATAGGTAACTAATCAAATACATCTGTTTGCATATGTGCTTCTAAAGACTATGCAATTATTTAAAAATACAACTGATACAGAATGTATTATGTACAACCAAAGTAAAAGTTTCTGCCATATGACTGTTTTATTTAATATAAGAGTCATATATTGAAGATATATACACTATTTTACACTAAGTTTTTTAAAAATATTTTTTGTGATAAATCTATATAACAAAAATGTGACATCTTTAAAAAATTTTTAAAGGATATATACCAATGTCATGGATACATTAAAATTGTACTATGATCACTTTCTTTTTAAAAAAATTTATGAGTAAATCAATTTATTTTTATAGCCTTTTCATCACAATAGAACAAACTTTCCTTATGTAATAATAGTATTAATTTCTTCCCTCCCTCAGGCCTTGAGAAGCCCAGAACTTATTTCTCTATTAATTTGCTCACTCTACACAGACCATAAAAATAGAATCATACAATATTTGTCCTTTTTATATATCTTACTCTACTTATCTTAAAATGTTCAAGATTACCCCATGCTAAATCATATGACAGAATTTTATTCCTTTTTATGGGTGCACACACTTTCTTGGATATAAACATACATATATAGACATATGTATAGTTGTGTGTGTGTGTGTTCTAACCATTCATCTTTGATCAAAAAGTGTCTTCTTCCCACATTTTTAACATAGGAAAAATGTCACAGTGCATGTATGTTTTGAGTTTCAGTTTTCAAATCTTTAGGTGTAAATTTAGATACAGAATTACTAGGTAATATAATAATTTTAGTTTTAATCTTTTAAAAAGTTTTTGATGAGCATTCCCTTAATAAAGTATGAGAGTGTTAGGGTCCTCTATCTCCAGTCTGCACACTGCAGAATTTTTGTTTTCATTTTAATAGGTGTGAAATATAATCATGTGTCACTTAACAATGAGGATATGTCCTGAGAAATGCTACATCAGGTGACATGTTGTTGTAATGACATCACAGTGTGTACTTACACAAATTAAGAGACTCATGTCACTAGGGATATCACCTTAAGAGGCTGATGGCTTATCTGCAGTACATCCTTTACTAAAACAATGTTATAGAGCACACGATAGTATTTCTTTTTGGTTCATTTGTATTTTCTTAATAACTAATAATCTTGAGCATTAGTTGTTATTTTTATTGGAAGCTTGTTTACTTGTTCTTTTAGTGTTACATCTAAGAACTGACTGTCCAATCAAAGGACAAAGATTTACCTTTTTCTGTTTTCCTCTCAGAGTTTTATAATTTTACCTCTTCTGGCTAAGCGGTTGATGCACTTTGAGTAAATTTTTGTATACAGTGTGATGTAGAGGGCTAACTTTATTTTTATGTAGAAATCTAGTTGTCCTAGCATTAGCTATTGAATAGACTATTCCTTCTTCATTTATTGGACCAGGGAGCTTTGTTAAAAGTATTAGTCATAGATCTATGCATTTACTTCAGGAATTTCAATCCACTAATTTATATATCCATCTTAGTAACAGTACTTTGATTACTGTAGCTTTATAAGTTTTCAAATCAGGAAATGTGACTACACCAACTTTTTGTTTTTCTCAATATGACTGACCTTTCAGAGTCTTGGCATTCCACATTGAATTGAAATTTAATTTTTCTATTTTGAAAAAAAGTAATGTCCATTAGAATCTGGAGATATAGCAAAGTGATTCGCATACGATTGACATATTCACTTCTAACCATTAACGTATGACACCTTTCTACATTTGTTTTAATTTCTTTTGGTAATGTTTTACTAGTTTTAAAAAATACAGCAGATTTGATATGTGGATTTTTTATCATATAATTAAACTGATATTGTTGATTAGGTCTAGTAGCTTTCTTGAGGATCATTTGAGGTTTTTTTTATATGAAATATCATGCCATCTCTGATAGGAGATACTTTGCTTTTTCTTTCCAGTTTACATGTATTTATTTATTTTTGCCTGCTTTCAGTGGCTCAAAACTCCAGCAGAATTTTACATAGCAGTGATTAAAATGAGCATCTTTGTCTTCCTAATAGTAACGGAGGAAAAATTTCAATTTTTTCATACAAAATATGCCTTAAATTGTGGACTTTTCATAAATGGGCTTTATTATTTTAAGGTGCTTTCATTTGTGTTAGCATTTTCCTGATATTATTATCAAGAAAGGATATTTCACTTTATCAAATGCTTTTTTGGTGTCAATTGAGATGTCTATGGTTTTTTTAATTTTTGCTCTTGTATTTCTTATCTAGTAATCAAAGGATAAATTACACGTGTTCATTGTGTATAAAAATTTCAATATAGTCTTGCATTTGTTGTAGTAGTATTTCTGAAGAATTTTTACATATATACATTTACATATATATATGATATTGGTGCATACTTCTATTTCCTTGTGATATATTTATCTGGCTT